GGATCTTGACTGGTCCTACTGCATGTGATCACTTACCGCCCCGCGTCTGACTCGGCGACCGTCTGCACCCCTCGAAATCTCCATTGCTGTAGTCAGTTTTCTTCGGCTGATTTATTGCATTGAAGTCCCCTGTCAGGTTAGACAAGAGGGGATCTCCAGCTAACCTGATTGGGCCCGTTCTATGAATCAGTCCTCTTTTATTTTTTATTATTCTTCTGCTGCGTGCCATTCTCAGTCCAAATGAATTACCGCCCCGGCTAGGGGTTCTACCTTCTACTCTGTGAGTTCTTTGTTGTTTCTCTGCCTGATCTATCTATGTCCAGAATCGAGACGCGTGCGCGGAAAGCAGCGAGAGAGAAAAGGGAGAGAGAAGGTGTTCTGTTTGAGAGTGTGAGGAAGGGCAAGAGGAGTGTTCGTCCAAACGGAAGGAGAGAGCAGACCCCTCTTGAGAGATCTACTGACATCCCTTCCTCCAGCATGGCGGAAATCACATCTGCCCAATGGCGGGCCATGCTGGACGCGGCAAGCGAGTTTGAGAAACCGTTCTTTCAGAAACTTTATGATGATGTGGTACTGAGGGAAGGGGAGGCAGAGGCAGCAGCTAAGGCCGCCAGCATCGCTGCGCAAGAGGCCCTCCTGCAGGTTCCAGAAGCTAATGCTGACCGGTTCAAGGAGAAGCTAGCTGCTGCCATTGCAGCCTTGGTCCGTCTGCGGGAATTGGAAGACTTTGAATCTCGTGTGACAGCACTAGAGCAGCAGAACCGAGAGCTGCAGGCTGAGGTACTCAGCCTTAGACAGTCCCAACTGTCTGCCCCCCGCCCTCCTAACCCTCGACTTGCTGCAGTCCCGGTCCCTCAAACTAACACAGCCCTAGTGGCAAGTGCAAGTGGAACTGTGGCAAGCGCAGGAACCGGTGCCAGCTCTTCAAGCGGCAGCGCCGGCAGCTCTGCACTCGTCATAGTCCCAGGTGCAGGCCCTTCAGCCCAGAAGGCCCCAATTCATACTGACATTCCATACAACAGTCCTATGGTGGACAAGAGGGCGGCCACTTTGCCGTCCAAGTACGATGGGAAGGCGGATATTACATCATGGATTAGTTCCATGAGATCATACTTCGAGGTCATGCGGACACCGCAGGAGGACCGAAGTATGATCATGGGCACTAATACTGAGCCCGTCGTACGGAATCATATGGAACTACAAGCTGTTGCAGCAGGCTACGAGAGGAAAGACCTGACTAGCTGGCTGAAGGTGACCCCTGTACGCACTCTTGAAGATCTCCTCCTTGAACGATATCAGGATAAGCATGCGGCGCTCAAGGCTAGGCTAAAGCTTGAGACCCTCAAGGGCCAAACATGGAGATCTTCCATGCAAGCTTTAGAACAACACTTGACTGGTCTGTTTACAACACCTGATCTGGGGATGACTGACGTGTCATGCATGGATGTAGTCATCAAAGTGGCCCCTAAGGAATACCTCTCCCTGCTAGCACTCAAGGACCATGCTACCTGGCGAGAGCTCATGAAGGACCTAGTCAACCTAGAAGCCAAGGACCTCGCCAGACGCAAAAAGGCRCCCGCTGCAGGTGGGAAACCACAACGCAAGCGGTTTGGGAGCAGCAACCAGCTTGCACTGCATGATCATCGGGAGGCTGAGGATCAGTCCTACRCGGATGATCTGTCTCTAGATGACGATCTAGAGCCGGACTCCGATACGGGCTGTTCTTCATCAACCATTGAGTGTGACCGTAACGAAGATGAAAAACTTAATGCATTCAAGAAGACTGCTTCTAAGGGGCCTAACCGTGGTTCGGGTAGGGGAACTGTTGTACACCTCCCCAAGAATGCGAAGATCCCTGAGAAACCGGAGGATGCTTCTACCAAACCTTRGGAAGCCCTCCGCATCAGCCAAAAGGAGTGGGAAAGAAGATCTAAACTGCGCGTGTGCTTGCATTGTCAAAAGCCTGGGCATGCCGTGCAGGACTGCTACCGACTTCAGGGAAACAGGCAAGGGGCGTAGAGGAGTTATCAGCCCTCTCTACAGCAAGGGGAGCTGAACAGTTAGTTGCAGACCCTTCCAAGGAGCCTGAATCTGATCAACAGCTAGCTCTTGAGGCCCTATCTGATGCTGATTCCAAGGCTGACACGGTCCGAGTGTTATACACTGAGCCTTGGGAGGAGTCTAAGGAAGTAGACTTCCACGCCCACATGGAACATTGGCTGCAGCTCAAGCAGTAGCGCCGTGTCCGAGAAGTGTGGAGTTGACCTTCTTTAAACTTCTCATTAACCGCCGATACATCCGAGTGCTAATCRACAGTGGTTCAACCACTAACTTCTTCTCTCCTAATAGGATTCGTAAGGCAGACCTGGGTATGAAGCAAGTGGAACTGCAGAACCCTTGTCGGACTCAGGTAGGCAACCAAGAGGTTGTCACTTCCACTCATGTCGTCAAAGGTGTGCGCATCACCTTTGACAAAAACCG